CCGCGGGGCTACCGGGCTACCGGGCTTTCCCCCCGGCGCTGCCGAGCGGATGGCGCAGGGCTGGATCAGGCACCGGGATCCCCGCGAGAAAATCCCCGCGGGCCGGGGTCAGCATCCCTCGGGGATGGGGGGACGCATGACGGCCGGGCGATGGACTGGGAGCGCTGCGCTTCGGCTCACGGCCCCTGCAGAAAAATCCAGATGTTGGCCGCTGGCCTTAGGGAGGGGGTGACCACCCCCTGAGGAAGCTGGTCCCGCTTTTGGGTGCAGCTTCTGGGGCGGTTGAAGGTGGATCGAGCGCAGATGACACGGATCTGCACGCTCCCCCCGCCCCATGTGCGCAGCATTTTCCTCCTCAATAACACTGATTTGGGGGGATTAACCCTCAAACCAGCCCCAGTAATAAAAGATCAGGTTTCTGAGAGAGCAACAGTTTGATGCAGCTGATGGAACGGCCATATGAGGTTCGAGGGGAGCAAAGGGAGGTGGGAAGGGGAGGGAAGGTAAAATTTGGCTTGGCCTAATTAGCATGGATTGTCTCCTTGGAGAGCTGGTGAACTCCTGCGGTAGGATCACTGGCTGTGCTTCCTCTGCCTTGGCATGTATGTGTGTCGGTAGGATCTGAAGCTAGCGGAGCACAAAGGTGCTTGAAATCTTGGTTATATTTTTAAACTTTGAATTTTGTTAACATTCCCTTGGTATGCAATAAGTATCAATACCATAAATTGTAGGAAAAGGTCCAAGGAGTGTGTGTGTGTTCCTGTGCTTTTGTCCAGCACTCGTTTTGGTGGCAGGTTGGATGCATGAAGGTGTAACATTTTCTGGATAGATTTAATGCTGGTGAAAGGTTGTTCAGACACTCTGAAGACCTCTGTTCGTTCTAAAAGAACAGGTTCTTCAAGGTTAGTGAGAGGCAATGAGGAGGAGGCGGTGAAGGGGTAGTTAAAGTAACAGAGACATAACAGAGCCCTCTGAGGAGCTCCAAACTTTATTGTATTTTTTAATATATTCAGATATCCCCAGATGTGCAGGAATCAAATTCAGGGGGAGTCACGTACGCATCTTTCTCCTGAATCTGGTCTACGCAGTCCAATCACCTAAGGCAGGGAACCTACCGAAGGAGACTCTGATTCCCTCTGACCTTTGTATCTCATCATTTTTTTTACAAGAATGCTGATAGAGATGGTGGTGTGTCCTTCCAGGCTGGATTTGGCACGTGGTGGGGATGTATATGGGAGCTGGGAAATGACTCCATCCACCTCTGGCTCCCAGGACATAGCCTCCAGGGTTGCAAACCTTCCCTCACATCAGCCCCTGCAAGTTCCAGTGTTGGTCCTTTCCAACACGCTGAGTATGGCCATCACACAGTGTTCGACCTGTGGAAATTACTCCTTGAAGTGGATGCAATGCAAGAGCTGGAGAAACTCCTAAAACCCTTCTGGTTTTTGAAGGGGACTGGACTAATTAGCTCAAGACCAGCTGTCGATACAGGAATATAAAAGCTTTCTCCCCATTGATTTGGCCAGACCGGAGAAAATATTGCAGTGTTGCCATCCTCAGGATGATGGGGTAGGGTAGTGATCCTTGCATGCTGCTTAGATTCCCTGCTAGCAGAGCAGCTAGGAAATATCCCCTAGCACTGGTATAATCACTCAAACCCACCACCTTGCCTTTCTTGATGGGGGTCTGCTGTATGGGACTAGAAAGTGCAAGGATGAGATTTTTAAGCAATATGCCATAGCTCGGTTATTGCGCCAAAGAACAGCAGAAGATATTCTCACAGATATTTCTTTCACTGCAATAAAACGCTGCCAAGAACAGATCTTCAGCAGCAGCAAGGGAGGAGCCAGTTTCCATGGTGAGTACCAACAGACCCATGGCAAATCTTTGGCCTGAGCTGGCTGTTTGTTAGCAACATCCTAGAGAAATGCAACATGGCGCTATCTGTGAGTCCTTTCTGTAAGGGACTGCTCTTCACTCCAGATTTCCTTGGCTGCAGACCAAAAGTCATCAGCCAGCGATCACTTGTTTGAAGATAAACTATAATTTTTTTCCCCTCTCATTCCTTTGTCCTTATTTTTAGGTAAGTCCTGGTTTCTCACAGTGCATGTCTCATTTTTAATCCGGATGCCGCTTGATCCGTTAAAATTGCTCTTGAGAGGAGCTGATACGTCAGTGAACCCCCACTAAACGACCGTCGCTCTTTACCAGTCACCTTTCCGAAAGTGTGCAGCATGACAGAACTCCATGAAGCCGTGGCTTTGGGGGACTACGACCTGGTGGATGAGATTTTGAGGACAGGGCGCTGCGACCCAAATCACAAGGATGTCGACTGGCATGACAGGACCCCGCTGCACTGGGCTGCTGCAAAAGGTAAGGGAATGCCCTTCTCTGTTACCTCTGCAAATCGGTGTCATAAAAGGTGGTGCTGACTGTAATTACATCTTGCTATGATGCAATTAATGCTGGAGGTAGTCACAGCTTCTGTCTGATCATTTTGTCCTTAATGAGCAAACAGAGAAAAAAACCCCCAAAAATAATTTAAATGAGAACTTGGCCTCCAAAATAATTTATGGGATTACCATCAAAGTTATTTTTTAGCTTTTTTTCCCATCACATGAAAGTTTACAATCTACGTGATACGTACATACAGCATGTCCCCCGTATTACTTCTTAAAAAGGTGACTTCATACAGTGCAGTAAAGTTATTTCTCCTGTACACCCGCACAAGTGAACAGAAGGTCAAACCCATTGTATTTATCCATCAAAGTTATTTTTTTGCTTTTTTTCTCATCACATGAAAGTTTACAATCTACGTGATACGTACATACAGCATGTCTGCTTGTCCCCCATATTACTTCTTAAAGAGGTGACTTCATACAGTGCAGGAGAGTTATTTCTCCTGTACACCTGCACGAGTGAACAGAAGGTCAAACACACTGTATTTATATCAGGTATTTATCAAACCTGACAAAACAAAAGTACTACAGTGTGTTTTACATCACCTTCCCTTTATCCCACCTGGTTGAACACAGGAGCAGAGCTGTTTGCAGCTCCCATTTGGTCATTCACCATCAGAAGTGTCCGTAAAAGTCAAATATCCCTTTGCAGCCCAGAAAACAGATGAATGCAACAATATATAGTGTGTAATTAATTATACACAGTGTAAAATGGGACACTGGACCTGTATTCCTCCATGCTAGGGATTTTGTTACACATTGGGATCTCACATCAGGACATCTGTCTTTGCTCAGAAATCAAGTGTGTGGTTTGCTGGTTTACACTTGATGCCACATTCTACTTTTACCCTGATGGATTTTTGCTCATTTGGGCAGCAGGAGAGGGAACTGAGCTATTTAAGAAGATGATGATGAGAGACTGGCATGGCCTAGGTGCCATTGGGAATGATCTAGCTCAGTCAAGGCAGTGTGAAGTGGGGTAGAAGTCACTTTTTTGGCTTCTTCAAGCAATTCCACGAGTTAGAAAAATATGAAGGTGAATGAAAACAAGTTATTTCTCCATCTCATGTCAAATAAACCTTTGATTTAGTAAAACTGTTCACTAGTTTTCCAGTTTTTTAAAGTTTAAATTTTATTTTGCATTGAACTAAAAATGAAACAAAAAATTAGTCAATAGACAATTGGCCAATCACAAATTGAGATGTGCTGTTCAGAAATTGATAGAAAGCTTTTTGATTTTATTGTTGGTTTTGTTGCAAAATGCTTCTGGAATCAGTGTAGTTTGGAAAAAAAAATCAGCATTTTCTAGTGACTATCATTTATTTGATAAATCAAATGGCAGGGTCATGGGTAAAAACCACGGTTACGTGACTGAGGGAATTATGGTCAACAGTGTGTGACTGCCTTCTGCATCCTGAAGGTATAAAGTCTAATGCAGGTGCATCTTCTCCCCCTGTGTTGCTGCCTAATGCCAGGTCAGTCGGAGCTGGTCAAGCTCCTCGTGGATCACGACGCGCGGCATTGCCTGCGGAGCGACGTGGGCTGGACACCGGCTCACTTTGCTGCCGAGTCAGGGAGACTGGGCGTGCTTCGCACCCTTCATTCCCTGCATGCTGCCATGGATGCGGCCGACCTGTTCGGTGACACTCCCAAGAGGCTTGCGGAAATCTACGGTCACCAGGACTGCTCCAGGTTCTTAGAAATGTGAGTAGCGATGGATGGTCCCACTGCAGCAGCATCAGCTCCGGCACTGGGGCTCCAGCAATGAAAATTAAACTGACTGCTACAGAGAGGACCAGAACAAATATGAGTGTGTTACTGCCTTCTATGGTTTGCCTTGGTATGTTTTCAGAATTGTTGCCACCTCATGACATCATTGGTTTTACAAGGATATTACAGAGCAGTTATTAAACAATGGGAACGAAAGCCAGAACTAGCAAGTATTAACCTCTTAGAGTGATGAATATACACAGGTTGAACTGTTGAAGAACAGCCCTTGAGCAGTTGATGTTAGTGTATGTATATCATTTGGCTTTCCTTGTAGTAAAGAACAGAGCCATTCTCCTCTGCTCTGCTCTCATAGACCCCACCCAGAATTCCGTGTCCAGCTCAGGGGCCCTCAACATCAGAAGGACATGGACCTTTTGGAGTGAGTCCAGAGGAGGCCATGAAGATGCTCCGAGAGCTGACAGCACCTTCCAGTGACTGAAGGGGCTATAAGATGCTCAGAGGGCTGGAGCACCTCTGCTATGGGGACAGGCTGGGAGAGATAGGGGTGTTCAGCCTGGAGAAGAGAAGGCTCCGGGAGACCTTATTGCAGCCTTCCAGTGCTTCAAGGGGACAGACAAGAAAGCTGTGGGGGGAGTTTTTACAAGAGTCTGTAGTGACAGGACAAGGAGTAACAAGTTTAAATTGAAAGCAGGGAGGTTTAGATTAGATATCAGGAAGAAGTTCTTCCCAGAGAGGGTGGGGAGGCACTGGAACAGATTGCCCAGAGAAGCTGTGGATGCCGCATCCCTGGAAGTGTTCAAGGCCAGGCTGGATGAGGCTTGAAGCAACCTGGTCTAGTGGAAGGTGTCCCTGCCCATGGCAGGGGGGTTGGGACTAGATGATCTTTATTCCCTTCCAACCATTCTTTAATTTTATGAATCTATGATCCATTTTTTTACATGGTTATTGAAAATTATACCACTTAATCTGTTAATAGATTGGCCACATTACTTCAAAACTTTGGAAAACTTCTTATTGTCTTAACCGTTTAAAGTTACCGCTCTGGCACCATATGCAATGCCTAATATGCTTTTAAAGGGTTCCCAATTACCATTCCTGTTTTTCAGCCACTGTCTCACAGATATTTTCCTCCTTGCAAAGCTGTTTCCCAGGATCAGGATGCTGTCTTCCAGAGGTCTGAGGTGTGTTCCATACCTGCATCTCTCCGAAGCAGTGGGACAGATCACCAGAGGCTAACGAGCTTGTTCAGTGTAAATTTTAGTCCCACAGATTACCTGATACTGGAACACATTGCTGGTGAAACCTGCACGCCCCAGACCCTGAGAGGCTGAGAGCACCCAAAGGCTTTTCCTCCCCTGGGTTTTTCTGTGAATTTACAGTACCACCATATTCCTTAACTGGCATCTTTTTACCGCTACCACATTCTCAAGACTGCTTTGGTACGTGGAATTTTTCATAGACACATACCCAACTCAAAGTCTCCAGCTTGCCAGTTCAGCGCAAGAGTTCAAAATCCCGCACGGTGGCCAGGCAAATGCCCAAGGTGGCCAGTGCCTACCAAACGCCGCCTTTCATTAATCCATGTAGACCTTTCTGCAGGTACTGTTGTCCTTTGGCTGTACTTCTACAGCTTGTTGGCTCCCGCTGAAATGCTCCATGCGCACCTTTGATCCTGACACAGCACTAGTGTCCTTCCATAGGAAAGGACACCTAAACTGAGTAAAATCCCTCTGTCCAGAGCCTAAAAAACCTTCTAGGGGAGCCCTACGTTCCTGTTTCTAAGCTATTATGGAAGCTGATGGACCCTTTGCCCACCCCACATCTAGAACCCCTTACAGCTAAAGCCTCACTGTTTCTGGAGCTGATGTGGTCCACGACCCTCGCTATTCACCACCTTCCTACCACCCAGAAGAATCGGCTCCTATTGCCCTTAGACCTTCACATTAAAGAAGTTTAAACAACAAGCAGCTGACACCTAAGCTTTCCTAATTAGTTTTTTTACCACCTAGACCCTAGCTGGGATAAGCTCAGGTTTGCCAGTTTTTTGGGAATGGGGCATTTTCTTTCAGAGGATGGGTTTCTCTTTATGCAATTCTTGGCTTGCTTAATTTCTGTATCGGAACAAGTAAATATTGTCTGTCCCAGAGAGGGAAAGGTCTGCAGGCTTGCTGCCCTCCATTAATCATTTACAGCAGTTGCTTACCTATTCAGTGCTGCCATTTTTTCACTCATGTCACCACTAAACCCTGCTTACCTCATCCTGCCGAGTCTCTGGCATTAGCTGTGCTCTTGGCTGTGCACCAGAGCCATGTTGGTCAGCGGATGGCAAGGGTGGCGGAATTTTTGCCCGGATGATGCCCACAGGCAATGCAGAGGTGCCTGGGCTGGTGGAGGTGGCTGGGAGAATGATTGACAGGATGATTGACACCCCCGGTCTGAGCCACTTAGGCAACAGCCTAGGGCGACTCATGTAGCTGATGGAGGTTTTCTGAGGTGAATGACTAATTTAAGGTGGAAAACTGGCTTTCAGAGCCGCATGCTGGCCTGACTTGCCCTGCAGCTTCATGGCTCAGCAGGAGTGTGGCTGGGAGAACTTAATCACTGAGAAGATGCTCTGAATGCCCAAGCCTAGGGCATTTCACAAGGCACACGAAGCCTGTATGATCACCTCACAGCCACCACACAGCTTGCAGGCAGCCAAGAGTTTGTCACTGAGGCTCAGGAACCCTTTTTCAAACCCAACCACTCTAATTTCCAGTCACAGTGGATGCCTTTACCCTCATGCAACAGTTTCGCCTCCTCATGTAAGCAAACCTGGAGGCAACTAGGAGGTGTTACGGTTATTTGTAGTATAATCACGATTACCTTCTGCTCCTTCAGGTGTGCAGAAGGTCCCAGGGGTGATGTCCACGCTCAGGCATGGACCGTGGCTCCGGCGGGAGCTGGGCAGTACCGACATGTGCTGCGTGAGTGCATGCTGATGCTGTGCAGCACAGGTGGGTCTGCCCCCTGCTCACGGTGTCTGTGCTGCCGGTATGTAAAGATGAGGGATATTTTGTTACAGAGCATCACTGGATATTTGCCTGTCATGCAAAAAGATAGAAAAGGCAATTTTTAAAATTGCACAGTCTGTGTCAAATCCAGGGCTGACATGCGTATCTAAATGGGGTTGTGAGCATCCAAATCCTGCCTAAATCCCACTTTACCCCTTCTAACACCACAGTGATCCTTGCACGCTGTCTGTCTGACCCTAGGTGCTGCTGGCTGCACAGGCATCCGCTGGTCTACCTGGACTGAGCAACTGCTCTGTGCTGGGGCCTGTTTGCATCAACGTGGAAATATTACACATATTGACATGTGAATATTATTAACATGTAAATATTAGGAATATTCTGCTACAGGGTATCCGTACCACTCGCCGAGGTTTGCATGGACATGCAAAAAACAAGAAACAGCCTTCAGAACACAGCTGCTTCTGAATAACAAACATATAATTTGCATCAGGTTTTATTTTTGCATGAGAAGAGCTTTACCCTGGATGCTGTGAGAGCTGCTGGGAACGGCACTGAGGTGGCACGGAGGAGACCCACGGCTCATGTTGCTTTGAGCAACCTGGTCTAGTGCAAGGTGTCCCTGCCCATGGCAGGGGGGTTGGAACTAGATGATCTTTTAAGGTCCCTTCCCACCCAAACCGTTCTATGATTCTATGTCTGCTGCCAGCCTCTCTGCAAAGGGCTGAGCACTGCAACTGCATCGAAAGCTCCTGCTAAGCCGAGGGCATATATATATATATATACATATATGCATATACACGTATGTACACAAACCATCACATACGTGTATTTGTGGTTGTGTGTATAAATATATGTACACACACGCATATCTGTGGTAAGCCCACGCTGTGCAGCACATCTGCGTGGAGCCGCTGGCTTTGCTCCATGCTCTCAGCCAAGACAGCATGGGACTGATGTGACAGTGCTGCTGTATTACAGCAAAAGAAAGGATTTTTGCTACTATTTGGTGCTATTTTTAACAGAGCTCCATAAATACTCAGTACCTACAAAATCCAGCCTCTGCAGTAGGAGAAAAGGGTTTGTCTTCTCTTACAGAAGATGTGCAATTGGGGTGCTGGCAGTGGGGGAGTGCAAGGTGGTCTGTGTGAAACAGATCAGGGCTGCACCACGATGGACCCATCGCAGTGGGCATCGCTCAGCCCATCAGCGATGCTGGTGGCTCCTCTGGGAAAACATATTTAAGGAAAGGCAAAAATGCTTCCCAGCAGTGAGGAGCAAGGGAAGAAGTGTGAGAAACACCAGGGTCAGAAGGAGAGGATGAAGAGGAGATGCTCCAGGTTCCAGAACAGGGATTCTCCTCTAGCCCATGGAAGCAGATACCCACACTGCAGACCACACTGCATCAGCTGGATGTGCCCTGAAGGAGAGACAGCCCCTGGAGAGCCTATGCTGGAGCTGGCTCCAGCCCATGGGCCAGACCCACACTGGAGCGGGGGGAGAACATGAGGAGGAGGGAGTAGCAGAGATGAAGTGTTATGGGCTGACCACAATTCCCATTCCTCATCCCCCTGCGCTGCTCACGGAAGGTAGAGGAGTGGGGAGTGAAGTTGAGCCTAGGAGGAAGAGAGAGTGGTGGAGAGATCATTTACTTTTGCCTTTGTTTCTCATCATCCTGCTCTATTTTCAACTGACAATAAATTGAATTGATTTTCCCCAAGCCTGTTTTGCCCGTGACACTAAGTGGTAAGCGATCTCCATGTCTTTGTTTTGACCCAAAGCTTTTCCTGTCCGGAAAGGGGCAGTGAGAGAGCAGCTGGGTGGGATGGCCAAGGTCAGCCCACCACGGTGTCTCCTGTTTTTTGGTACTTTCTCCAGCTTACCACTGACGTGAGAGGGAGAAGAAGGCCTGAGTGTTTTTTTTTGCTGTTTTTTGAATGAGAATGGAAAGAAACTTTGAGTGACTTGAAACTTAGGGCTCGGACTAGATGATCGTCAAAGGTCCCTTCCCACTCGAACCATTCCATGATTCTATGTTTTGTGACTTGTATGTTAAGGATAGACACACGTTCTTTTAAAATTCCTCAGTGCCTACAAAATGCAGAAAGTAGCTAACTATTTTTTAGTTTGGGGCCACTTTTTTTTCCCAAATAATTGACTTTGTCAGTGCCAGGAATGTGTAAAATTTGTAAAGAGAAAGTTAAAAACACTTAATAGGAAAAATATTTAAGAGCTGTGATTATCAAAACAGTAACTGAGATGATAAAAAATCTGCTGCTCCAAGAAGCATTTTGGTCTTGATGAAAGCTTTTAATTTGTTTTGGTTGCTTGCAATGGCTAGTGTAATGAAAAATCATTGATATTTCAAGGCTATAAGAAAAAAAACCCAGTGAATTATGTTTATTTTCAGTTAGTTTATACAGTGCCCCTCACTGAAGATCTGGGACTGTGTTTGTTTCATAGAAAATACATGAATATTTAAAAAAAAAAAAAATTAGGACTTTGGTAAATCACAGGTGCCAAGAGCAAACCCTCAGCTGAATTTGGAAATCCCAGGGTCTGGAGGGATGATGGTTCAGTGCCTGACCTCCACAGGTTTCACACACTGGAAATCATGGAGATAACTTGAGAAACAAAGCTAAAAACCCCAGCAACCAGAAGAGAGTTGTGAATGATCTGCACATGGGGATATCGGACTGGGAAAAGAGGTATTTTCTACATAACTTAAAAGTAACATTTGAACTTCCACAACACAGTCTTATTTGTATGACATTCCTTAATTCGAGTTGTTATTTAAATAACAGAAATGGGGATGAATTGTGAAGGTCAGATTTGAACGCAAAAGTTTAGCAAAATTTCAGGGCTGAATTGGATTAGGATTAGATACTTTGTGAGACCAGAAGTTGGTCTATAAAGGCATCTACAAATCCTCCCAAATTCTAGTTGTCTTCAGATCTGGTGTTTTGGCATTAAGAACTTCTAGTACTCACAAATGAGCGGCACAAAAGATAAAAGAAAATGGGAATGTTGTGGTTTCTGTGGATTCAACTGCATTACAGTGTACTTAATTCTATTTAATAGCACACAAATCCACAACATCAGTCTTTGAGAGCTTTGCTTGGGTAAAATTATGCTTCCAGTGGTGAGTCTGGTCTCACTGTAGATCCTTACTGAAGGTTTCCCACTTTAGCCCGCCTCCAGTGAGTATCTGATTGCTTGGGGTGATGAATGCTGTTGGATTTGGGATGACGCTCAGTGTTTTCTCGTGCATTGCTGGCAACAGTGCTTTGACCATACCAATACACCATCCCCTGTTGCTGTAGATGTGCCGCTCGTGAACGGTGGTGTGACTGTGCTCTACTCAGTGCCTGAAGATGCACTCCTGCTTTCTTCCCCAGAGCAGAAGTGGAGAGCAGGAACTATCGCAGGACAGCTGCAATGAAGGGAATTCCCTTAGACCAGAAAGATGAAGACTGGGAAATCAAGAAAGAAGAGCTTGCAAGAAACCTACTGTGTTCTCAGGAGACCTACACATCCTCTGCTCAAATGAAAAATCAAAAGAGGAGGAAGCAGTAGTGTGCCATGTCTGTTTGGTGCCACTGAGAACCTGGAATGCAGAGCAAAGGCACTGGCAAAGCTCTGGTGCATCTGCAGGGTGAAATACGGATGAACAGGAGAAGCAGACAAGAATACATTTTATGATGTACTGTGAATACTGTCATGAACAGGGAACATGTAGAAGTGCTTCTGTCTATCTGTGTCTGTATGTATTGAATCTCAAGTGTCAGAAAACTATGGAAGATATTTAAATATACCAGTACTCTCAGTCACTGAAATGCATAAATTTACAGAAATGACAGCAATTACCCGTATTGTGAGAGAGAAATGTTGTTGCTCCCAGTTGAGTCATGAAAGCATCGGGGACTGTGGTTCTGCTCACTCTGGTGATGTCTATGGCTTTTGCTTGTGTACCTGGTCCTGAGTCAACCAGGAGGCTCTACAGAGGCTCGTAGGCTCTGGTGGTGCCTCTCTTTTCTTTGGGAGTGGCCTCTAATTGCTGTTTCTGGCTGAAGGGGAGAGGTTGATGTTGACCTTTTAGTGGACACATGGCTCTAGCAACCTGGATCTACCATTTCTGGCCCAGCAAAAGGGAAAACGTGCTCCCTCAGTGCTGCTTTCAGACATCTATGACTGCCAAGACAGAGCACCCCAGAAGATCCTGTGCTGTTGCTCCCAACCCCGTGCAGGTATCTCAGATACCGTAGGACTTCTCAGATGAGTTGAGATGTCTATGCTTGGGCAAAAAAGTCAAGCTTCTTGCTTTGTCTTTTGCCATTTTCACTTCCCAAGCCATGTGAGGTGTCAGCTCCATCCACAGTAGACCTGGCTGTTGAATTAATGAAGTCCACTGCTCTGGTGAGAGCCCACCTGGAGTGCTGCATCCAGCTGTGGAGCCCTCAACATCAGAAGGATATTGACCACTTGGAGCGAGTCCAGAGGAGGCCACGAAGATGCTCAGAGGGCTGGAGCACCTCTGCCATGGGGACAGGCTGAGAGAGTTGGGCTTGTTCAGCCTGGAGAAGAGAAGGCTCCAGGGAGACCTTATAGCACCTTCCAGTACCTGAAGGGGCTACAAGGAAGCTGGGGGGGACTTTTTGCAAGGGTCTGTAGTGACAGGACGAGGGGTAACGGGTTTAAATTGAAAGTGGGGAGGTTTAGATTGGATATCAGGATGAAGTTCTTCCCGGAGAGGGTGGTGAG